GGCAGTGGCCAGTAATTGTCCCTGTCATTGTTTTGAGATTAGTTCTGTTGCTTAGAAGTCGCTTTGTTACTAGCGGGTTAACTGCTGGCAGAGCCATTTTGGACTGCCTGCAGTCGGCGTTTCGCGACCATAGGCGATGTTGGAGTTTTGTGGATTTTTGGCGAAGCCACGGTCGCACTTGCGAGAAGGGTAAGGGAAGAAGAGGATACGGGCCAGCCGGCATCATTCCGGAGCTTCTCCTCGCAAGCTCGTCGGCAGCATCATTGCCGACAGATCCACTGTGTCCTTTTATGCACTATAGGGTAACCCTATTTGTCAGGGTTATTGGCTCCAGTGCATTGTGACACTTCTGTATGAGTTTGTTGTTTGTCTTTTTATTTTCTAGCGCCATCAGCGCAGACGTACCGTCGGATACGAATTTGATACAGAAGTTATTAATTTCTAACCGCTGCACGGCTCTGGCTGCTTCGGATAGAGCGACACATTCACATTGAAAAATCGAGCTGTGTGTGCCTAAGGATAAGTGTATGTTGATGTTGAGATCAAGAGAAAATATGCCAGCGCAGGAGCCACAATCTGTATTTGAGCCATAATCACGTACCTCTTTTAAAAAATATCAATTAAGACGACGTAAAAATGTGTCTTTAAATAAATTATTTGCTAAAAAAATAATATCATAATTTATAATCTACTTCCGAATAGCCATTGAAACATAAACAAAAACCTCGCGACAAATACAATTGAACTTTTAGTTTAATAATATTTTCACTAAAACTATATCTGGAGAAATATTTTATAACCTATGAAGTGACTTTAAGAACACTGACAGCTTAGCAGAAGCCGATAATATATAGTGAGCTATAGATTCAGCTCAAACCAGCTTATGCGAAAGCTGTAGAGAAAATTCTTCAACCGTATTTATGTCCGTCTTTATTAAGAATTGAGCTGATTCCTTTCCACAGCCAGTCTAGACTAGGCCTTGAATATATTAAGCCTTTTACGATGAATATTATATGGCCTATAACTACTTTATAGTCTCTTGATAAAACCTAACTCAGACTTTTAAGGCTAGTTATTCGATTTAAAAAAAAAAAACAGAGTGCAATCTAACAGGAGGCTCACCCGATGTTGAATGATATTACATCCATAGACACTCTCAATGCCAGGCCAGAAGGCTTGCGACTGCGTTGCCGGCCCATTAAGAACTGGTAGGCTCTTGTTTTGAATAGGTACATTACATATAATAAGATTTCTATGGAGGCTGTATTTAATTGTACTCTGAATGCGTACACAATAGTTCCCAGTTTTGTTATTATTTACAGAATGTAGGTAGATATTTTTTTTTAATTTGAAGTTGTCCAAGTGTAGGTACTTTGTAATTCTATAACATTCGTCACAATTCTAAAAATAATTGTGTAGAAATCATGAATAAATAATCATAAAATTATTTTAATGCTTTGATAAGAGACAGATCAGTACTTAATATAGCGCACTCCGGATTGTGTTTTTCTTTTTTTATGGCACAGGGAAACAAGCAGGCACTTAAAGTTATCACTAGAAGTTTACTGTCGCCTGTGCACACATGCAACAGGAGGAGGTTTGCAAGAGCGTTGCTGGCCTTTAAGATAATGATACGCTCTTCTCTTGAGGGCCTCTAAGACGTTACGGTTCTGAAACACCTAGAATTGAATCTGGTTTTTTTATAAAACAAGGGACAAATGGGCAGGACACTCACCTGACACTAAGTGATACGTGTGTAAGCCCACAGATACTGACATTTCCAGAAGGTTCGTAAGTGTTTGCGCTAGCATAAAGAAACGTTGTCTGAACTATCCTTGGGCATTTTAAAATAACAATATATGATGTTTAGTATTAAATACATACTTAAAGCTTCCATTTAAAATACTTGGCCAGCGGAATCAAGCCTACATATTCAGTCGACCTAGAAAAGTATAATTCTATTCTCAAAGCGTTTGTTCTATAAATCTTCAGCATAAAATAATGCCATGCATCGTGAGTAATGTGATTTCACAATGAGACTGCAAGCTCGCAAATGAATACGAAGAAATAAGACTAAATACGAAGAAAAGCTTGGGTTTAATAGAATTCCATTGTTGATACCCCTTGGAGAACAAACGTGCTTTCAAAACTGTACATATTAGATTTTATACAAAATAATAAAGTTGAGTCGCTTGTATGATTCGTAACAAGCAATTAAAACGTAAAATAAACTCTGATTCATTCGCACGAAGTCGCTATTTTGATGCAATAACTGAAATAATAAATTACTTTCAAATACTTACAAATAAATTGATTTCAAGTTTCTAAATATAAATTACTTATCTCACTTAGTCGTAGACAAGTCACCATCTCAGTATTTCTTTCTTTCCATTTTTCGTTATCGTTTCTTGAAGTAGGGCGAATGGAAAAAATTATGGTGGAGTTGAGTGGTTTACGTATCCATTTTGAAAGATCGAGACTCGATTTAAATAACTTCACTTGATAGAAAAAATCCAAACAGCCAATTTTTGACACTTTGAATTCATTTAATGACGAAAATGTATATAGGACATGATTTTGAAATTTACACGTTACTTTTTATCGCAAGCCAAGTAATCCATTTCAGAAAAAAATTTGATAATATAATATAATAATACATTAATTTCATGTTTCACATAACTAATTGTTATTACGGGCCGGCGCGGCTCAGTGCTCCAGCTCTCCACTGCGCCCCACATTCCACCCCGAGATACTGACACAGCAATTCGTGCTGGGATAGGGCCTTAAGTATTCATATAAGAGTCATCCAACTAAAAATTTGATAATATATAATATGTGATTTCCTTTTGGGGAAGCAAGATACAGTTAGATTAGTCTATTAAATGGCTTCGGATATATCCTGGAAAGTCAATTTGTAGCACGGTGACTTAAAGTAATTATTTGTTGTAATTGTTTGTGTTATATACAGGATAGTTCAAGATAGTTTCACCAAGTATATATACGTCAAAACGACAAGTTTTGTCAGTTACAGCTCTAACACATATTTTTCATGCAATTTGTATAGAATTTAATTTGAACATCATTCTGAGGACAAGTTCTGTTTCTTTCAAAGAAAAATGTTGCATTACTATTTTATTACGTTAAAGTTTAAGTATTGTACATGCTATGGTTATGTGAAAGTCTTTGTGGTCACGAAATCAAAACAAAAGCACTGGTGCTATATACAGGGTGGCCAAAAAGTCGTGGATCAAACGCAAATAGGGGATAGATGAGGTCATCAGCGGCAAAAAATTGTTCTACGGGAGGTCTCTAAGGTCAACCCCTGCAGAGTTATGATTTATTTTGCGTTTTATAAGAAAATTGACTTTTTTTTACTAATTCTTATTAAAATTCGATAAAATCTACATCCTGTATATTTTTCATAATATCCACTAGATTGGTGCTGATGAGTTCTTGCTTAACACTTAATACTATTTATAGTTGTTTAATGTTTATTGAGTGTATTGAAGATAATATTAAGTTATACGATATAATTTTTTTTCAAATCAAAACTTTTTGTTTACTTCAGACCCCTCTGTGAAAAAAAATTACTCTACCGAAAAGTGACCCTGTATTACAAATAATCTATCATAAGTCCGAATCGTTGTTGTTTTTTCGTCCTAGAAAGATATTAGAGCGACTCATGGCCACGTGTAATACCTTTTCAGAATCCCTATTAAATGCGCCAAAACTTGTAGTACAGGGACACTTTTCGGTGGAGTAATTTTTTTTCACAGTGGGGTCCAAAGTAAAGAAAAATTTATGATTTGAAAAAATGTTATATCGTATCACTTAATATTATCTTGAATACACTCAATAAACAACTATAAATAGTATGTCGAACGCAAGAACTCATCAGTACCAATCTAGTGGATATTATGAGAAAGATACAGGATGTAGATATTTTCGAATTTTAAGAAGAATTAGTAAAAAAAAGTCAATTTTCATATAAAAACCAAAATAAATCATAACTCTGCAGGGGTTGACCTTAGAGACCTCCCGTAGAACAATTTTTTGCCGCTGATGACCTCATCTATCTCCTATTTGCGTTTGATCCACGACTTTTTGGCCACCCTGTATTTAAAAACCCGTCATCAGATTTTTGTATCTGTTTCATGATCATTGGTTTTTTGTTGTAGACACACGCCGTTCACTTCTTGAGTCTCAATTGCCGATATCCTGACGATGTTTTTCTTCGGCGTACAAGCGAGTGTTAAATCTGCACATAAAAAGAAAAGTTCATTGGACCATAGGTTTGAAGCTCAAGAATGAGAATCGCAAGCTCAAGCCACTAGGCTTACACTGTTCTAGAGAAAAGGGAGTAGTGTACAAATCGAAATTCAATTAAAATACCTGTAGATACTAGCTTTAAATAGATTTTTTTAGAACTTGGTATATTCAATAATGGGCTGATCAATTTTAAAGAAGTTTTTTTGTACCTATCAGGTACTTAATCTGCATTAGGCGAATAAATATTTTTAAATAGGAATTTACTAAGTCAAAACTAACATTACTGACAAATCTATTTTCGAAGATATTAATTTTTTTTTGGAAAATTTATGTTTAAACTGCTTGTAATGTATTTTAGACTAGATACATTGTAACTTTTAATATAGAACGTGTATATATGTGGTGTAAAGTACACCACACATATTATATAAAAGAAATAAAAAAGTTTGTATAAGATTTCCATTTTCGAGCTTGATAGGAAACATAATGTTATTAGACATTTAATTTTAACACTTCCGGCAGAGTAGGGAATTGTTTAATGTTTTATTTGACAAAAACACTCATTTATGTAAAGCTGATATTGAGTAAAAACCACTCACTTTTCCGTTATCTTAATGACGTCACCGACTTTTATTTGTAAGACAAACAAGCCCAACATTGGGAGGACCTAATAAATCTGTTTTCATTGTGTTTAGTTATCCGAGATCCATTGTGCGGGTTTCGTGACTAATATGATTACAGAGTTTGTGACGCCGTATCTTCGGTATTTTTGGGGAAGGTTAGGTAAGTCTACGACACATAAAATTAAGAAAAGCTGATGCTTATCTATTTTCGGAATATATGCTTGGTAATAACAGACTTTACCCTTTGCATGAAGAAACAAAATACTATGAAAATTGGGTTATTTCACAAATAATAACGTGACCCAGTCAATGTTCCCTAACGTCCTTGGCCGCTGGTCATTGGTCACTTTCACTTCTCAACAATGTGATAATGGATTCATCTTCCTTAATATGTTTTAATTAGATAATTGGGATTGTATTATGTGACTCGAGGGACCAAGAGTAAGAACAAAACTTAATAAGAATAACAAAAATTGCAATAATACGTTTGGAAATAAAAAGACGGTTTTCGACATTGTCAAATTTTATGTTCGCGTGAAAAACACAACATAAATTTCAACACAAACATTTTATATAGCAACACTGTAGTATATTCAAAATAATAACCAAATATTTTAAGTCTGTTGATTTAAACTTAAACCTAAATATTACACTAATTTGCATATTATGTAGAATTTTGAATGAAGAGTTCCAAATTCAAATTATAAAATTTATTGCATATTTCCTCTCTGGTTTATCACCGGCTGAAAAGAAATTATGAACGCGTCAATTGTCAGTTGAAAAATAATTGCGCGGGAAATGTGCGAAAGATTTACATTTTTTTTTGTTAGATATTTATAATGATCGATATAACATCAGTAATGACTTATGATAATATGTATTTAATTAAACAATACTAGGCACAGATTTTACTTTAAACTAGCACTTCGTTGTAAAGTATAAGTCACATGATAAATAAATGAATATACATATAATTAATTAAGGTGAGAAATTAAAATAATATTTAATACTCATTCCATTAGTTTTAAATTTAGTCTTAATTTTTAGTTTATTTGAAGGCTCAGATTAATTAATTAATTTCATAATCTGTGTTTTTAAAGGTATTAAAATTGCGTCGTGATTCCACACAGCTGACCGACACTAGTACGTGGACACTTTAAGTACGGAGTCGATTTACTTTTGATTTGTTAAAAAAACTACATGGCAAATTGATAACCACCTCCTTCGGGTTTTTGTTGAAGTTGGTTAATTATTTCTTTTATTGCGGTTGTTAGGTTAATCTGTAAATATTGACTCTGTGGGAAAGTTCCCAAAACGTGAAGTGTCATTTTTACACGCTTTATATTAGCTTCACCTGTATGTATGTATGCATGTATGTAACCGACTCCTTCGGACTCGATTTTGACCCGCTTTAAACGGACAGATTTAATTCAAACTGTGTACACTTATAAAGAATCAGCGACAATATAATAATTTCATAGGTTTATCTCGAAAAAACAATGAAATTTTTTTTAAGTCCACAAAGCAATACGATTAAATTGAGACAACACGTATTGCTGCTAGGACTAAAAAGTGGAAAATAAATATAGTTAAAAAAAACTAAAAAACACGCTTTAAACTATATTTATTTTCCACTTTTAATCATTACGATTGTGAAACAAGGAATAAATTGTCTCTCGGACGTTGTTTTGAAGTTTTTCCACTTTTTCTGACACATAATTGAGAGACGATTATTAAAGTTAAATGAAAATGACAGTTTGTGTCGACAAATTTTCATACAAATTTAGTTTTCTACTTTCTATATACACTACTGTTAAGGCATCTTGACTAAGCCCCCTGGTATGTATTTAAGACCTTTGAAATTACAAAATGTTTGACGGCCACTGAATCTATGTGATACAAACGCTTTTCTTAAAATTGTTGTTACTAAAATGTATTTTTAACGAACATTTTGACAATATTTCATTACTTTCTAAAATAACGCCTGAACATATGAGAGGTTAAGTAACTATTTATAATAAGTTTAGTGCACATTTGGGTGAACCGTACTTTTTTATAATATTAATAGAAATGCTTGCACATAACTTTTATAACTATGAACATTTGTGACTCGATGAACTAAGAAATCATTTATACTTAGATGTAATGATTGTACTGTTTTAACTTGAAGTTTTCAACAGAAACACATTAAAACGTTGTTACTTATCGTCTGCGTTTCGCGTTACGTACTATTGTAAAGTTCAGTTAAATAATACTACGGCATTCACTAAGGTTAACAATAAATATCCAATTTGGCCGTATTATCAATACTATTTTAAGTATTAATAAATAAAACTTTTTTATTACCTAGTTTGATATTCAGTCAAACAGAAAAGGTTCATATTTATGACTATTTTATAGTTCCCATATAAAATTCACGTTGACATTTCGTAGCCTTTAATATTCTCATCTAATAAAGCTATTTGAGATGTAAATTTCAACTGACCCTTTCGACTAAACATGACCCAGTTTTCTTGGAATAAGCGATATAGTTTCACTTGAGGGAAAAATCATATATGGCTATGTAAATAATCGTTTATCCTCATATAATAGATATCCGTATTATTTCCTCAAAATATTTCTTGTCCATTATTTCTTATCATATGACATACAGGAAGAAGCTTCATTCGTCTTGGGGTGAGATTCGCAAAGGACTTTGCACTAAGTCTAACTTCTATACGTCCAAAATTTATTGGTATTTGACTAATGGGGGTCATAGTTCGTGCTACGTCTCGTTACTGAGTCTTATCCTTAGCTCAAACTTGGGGTGGTATCGCTATATCTAAAAAAAACAGCTAAATATTAATTAAGACCTTTTTAGTAGATAAATAATGGGTCATGACTCTCTTTTATATAATTACAATGATTCTACCAAGAAAGTTCAAAATTGTTTATTAAACTTTTCGAATTCTTTATTGCAGTTTAATATATATATATGTATGTCTTAATTAGAGCAAAAACACATTTCAATATAAAATTTACAATATAATTATTTATAATATTTGTTTGCCGTTAGTTCGTACTTGAAGTAGCTCCCGATTCTAATATCACAATTGTCACAAATATTGTCTATATCCATACTAATGTTATACAAATGGTTTTGCAGGTCTGTCGGCTGGTGGGGTTGACAGCACAGACCCTGACAGCATTTTCGCAGTGAGTAACGGCACTGCGGAGACGGAGCCCGCCGTACAGCCACACTTTGACAATGCTACAAAAAGAGAAAACACGGCCGCGGTGGGGCAACCAGCTTACCTCCACTGTAGAGTGAAAAATCTCGGAGATAGATCTGTAAGTGTTCGAAGTTCTATTCTATATACAAATAATTTGTCCATTCAAAAATTTTGTTGCATGTTATAAAGTAAAGTTGTGTAAAAATGTAATGATCACTTATTTGCTGAGACAATGATGTAAAGAAATACCCTATGACATTGGTGACTACGGTTCACACGTTATCATTACTTGCATTATTTAAGTTCAAATAAATCGATTTTTAATGTATAATACTAACGGTTGCCACAGCGCGGTTTTACACAAAGATTTATGAATTGGCTAAAACATATGTAGTAAAACATATATATTGTCAATACAAAGATAACTAGTTCTTGAAATTCTTGAGTTTCAGAAAGTTCTTGAAATTTGCTCTGCCATACAAATAAAAACTTCGTAGCTTTATAATATGAGCTCTATTTAAACTTGTCTACGTGTCAACACATGGCATTGCAAAACACACTTGATTTAGAGTACACTGTGTAGCTGAACTTCTCGAATAATTACTTACATAAGTAATAAGACTTAAAATCCATTACCTAAAAGCCCTACAGAAATCAAGCCAAGTTGGCCAGTGGGTTTTAATAATCTTGTTTGATATTAAAAATCCGCATTGTCTTCAACTTTAAAACTGTGTAGTAGCTAAATCTTAGCGTTGCTTTCACGATAACAAGTAGAAGGCTTGGAAGAGCCAGTTTGCCCGAAGGCTTCGCTCCCGGTTTCTTTGTAAGTTACGAGTACCACAAATTTATGTTAGGCCTAGTTAACGGTTTAATCTTGTATAAGGTTTTCTTTTTCTTTGATTATTGTTATATTGGGCTTTTAATTATTTAAAAAAAATCATTAAAGAGTTAATAAGGCGTTGTTCAGCCGTTTAATAAAAACAAACTTGCGTTTTATTAACCTAGGAAATTTGTTTTTATAACGGCGTAGTAATTTTTCACATACTTAATAAAAAAGTATATACTACTAGCTGACCCGGCAAACGTTGTTTTGACATGTATATTATTTCTAGGAAATATTTTTTAGAGTTCAATAAAAATAACTATCTACTATATAATAAAAATTAGGGGAGATCGTAGAGGGGTGAAAATTAAGGGTTGTATGTATTTTTGTATGCTATATCATAAAAAAATAAAAACTTAAAATTTTGTCTTAAAATAAAAAATATTTTTAGGGGTGGACCCTCCCTTAACATTTTGGGGGATGAAAAATAGATGTAGTCCGATTCGCAAACTTATCCGATATGCACACAAAATTTCACGAAAATTGGTCTGGCTCGACCAAGGATTCGGAGGAATTTAATTACAAACACAGTGACACGAGAATTTTATATATTTTGTATATTAGATTTCGTATAGAATTTGTCATATTTTTACAATTGGTATACTTATTTGACAAAATCTATGTCTCGTACTTCAGATAATTTTCTCACTTGTGAACGTTCGTCCTGGTTTTGGCAATTAAAAAAACCTATATTGGCATTGGAAATTCCTCGATTTTTCATTAAACATTGTTGCATTTGATAGCTAACAATCCTATTAAACGACAAATCTAAAGCTGCCTGACGATTTTTGTCGAAATCCGCCCAAAAAAAAATTCTCTAACGCAAAAGCGCTCCCATTTTAATTATTGATAAATGCCTACTGGAAACAATAGTAGCCGAATTCCAGTGGAAATGAAACGAATTCGATACATGTGCCATAAAAGATCGTCTACACACCACATAGAATTTGTGTAATTGTCTAAAAGTTCACACCCCGTATTTTGTGAATGAAATACTTTTATTGCGTATAATTTGTTAAAGGCTCTTTGAATTTGTGGAGTGGTTTTGAAAAAGGCAATTTTATGCTGGTTTCGCTGAATTACGTTTTACTTTATCTATATTAACTCGTTGACCTGATAATATGCAAATAAAAACAGTCTTTTTTGGAATAAAGTACATGAAATATAAAATTTTCGTATAAATAACACATCTTTTTTATATATTTTAAGCAGATTACATGTCGGAATAGGGCATGATTTTGCGTCTATTTTATAGGTTGGTTTAAAGCCAAAGGTTACCAGTCTTCTTGGCCTAACTGAAAAAAAATTGAATCATTATTGCAAGCAATATTCACAAACTACCATATTAAAACTTCTAGACAAATGAATATGCATTTCAATTTAAACATAGTTGTTTGTGAACGTGTAATTATAACCCTACGTGCCCTAAAGCCTCGAATTGTGTACCTTTTTGTGTTGTGTCGCGGTGTTTCAAGTGTTTTGCTCATTTTCGCCCAACACTTGATCTTTTTCGGTTAATTTTTGTACATTTGCACTAAATTAATATTGTAAAAACTATAGAATATTTATATATTTTATTGTGACAACTAGTATTTTCATTTGTTTAAATGTTTGAGACTATTAGGACCTTCTCGGTGGTACAAAATTTCATTCTACGTGTTAATTTAAACCAAGTAGACTTTCGTTAGGTATCAATTCACATAATGCACAAAGACCGGGTAAAGATACGGTTATGAATAAATAATTGCTAATAAAAATGTAGGTGGTTTAATATCTACATATTTAGTATATATCAATTTTACAAAAGTAGTTAAACATAAAAGTGACGAAAAATTGCTGGCTAATCTTGCTAATTCTTCTTTCTTGTTCGTTTTGCTTTCTCACACAGACTGTAACCCGCAGATAAAATTAATAACATTATTGGTCTTGTGGCTTCAGTGTGCGACATCCCTGAGCTGTTTCAAACCCCGGCTGAGCAGTAATGTGCTTGTTTAAAACTCGCTCGTACTGTGAAGGAAAACGTCGTGAGGAAACTGGCATTTATTTGACTTTAGAAGTGAACGGCGTGTGTCTGGTTCAAAAGAATGATCACCTACTTGCCTATAAGAAAAAAAAATGATCATGAAACAAATACAGACATCTGAAGAGATTAAAAGGTTGTAGTACTTTTTAGAATACGTAGTATATCCGTTCTTTTCTGGACCTTTGTCTACAATGGGTTAAGAATAAAACGAAATAGTAACTCATTATGGTCGCACACGAATATTAAGGGATTTAAACATCATTGTTGTCACGTCTTATTTATCAATGGGATTATGTATAAACACCCCACATATCTCTATAATCTATGCTAATAAAATACAAAGAGATTTAGTTTCTGAGTTTGTGTAAAGTAATCTCTGGTATATATAATTTTTAACATACTTTATAATTTATAAAGTAATTTGCTATAGATTTCTGTGAGCTTTCATTACAGACGCTGCCCTTTCACATATATAAGAAATCAATGTAATTCTCTCATAATATATTCATATAAAGGTATTTCGATAACCTATACCTATTCAATCTTCATAAATAACACATTGGCATCTGTTGGCGCGAGTCAGTGACCGCAGCAGCTAAGATTATTCAAGGTCCTTGCTACTGTAATGTCGCTTATTTAGCGCGGACAATATCAGCCTGAACCTTTTCATTGCACTTTGTTTACTTATGTAAGTTAAGGTGTAACGTCTGACCTTTGTATTAAGTAAATATATAATCCCACACGATAGATATTTCCACTTAAACGCGCGAGATAATGCTACTTAGTAAAATCTATTAAATGCGCGCTCAAATGAGTCTCGTCATGTATTATGTTTTAATAATTAAGTACTAAATTCGTTTCACGTACACGTAATACGGTTGAAAAACTTCCCTATGCGTACAAAATATAGGAGATAGGAAGTTCGTAAATACAGCTTACATCTAAATTAAGTCGTCATTTGCATACTGATACCGAACACTTGCTCTAGATATGCAAAACCATTACAAAATATAAAATAATGGCGTACACAACGGTGTTACGCAATATGTTCGTAACGCAAGTTCGGCTGTGCTTTTTACGGATATTCAATAATCAACTCTCTTTTTAAACTTCACGGTATTTATCAGTTTACAGTTATTTTCTCTAATCAGTAAACATTTGTTGTTGTAAAGATATCTTTATTTTTTGTTTTATTCAATTCATATAAGAGAAATTAAGAAGCTTTACACTTTATTGTATATTATACTATTGATGACACGTGAGTTGGCTTACTCTATATTCAAATATAAATATTAAATTTATACTTTCATAATCTTTATTCCTGTTTTGTAATAATGAGGAAATATATTTTCTAAGTGATTACTTTGGACATGCACATTTTAGTTTCTGCTTCATTGTTAGTTTTTTGGTAGAAGTTGATCAGCTTTCTTTGCCCGACATAGGTCATCGATTTAGAGTTCCAAGGCAACAAATATTCTCGTATCTTTTTCTACTAGTGTAATATTTGCTTGTAAGGTACAAGCAACTTTACTAGACTTATTCGCTAATACTACACTTATACACTATACGTTTTTTACAACTCGTGTTTAATTGATATATACATTTTTTATGTGCCACACTCACAGCAAAACGATTTAAAATGTATAAAGTTTTAAATTCGTAGTTGAACTCAAAGGAGCGAAATATTTATTATTTAACGAACTAAAAGTTACAATACAAAAGTTTTACGTAATATTTAAAATGTATTAAGTTTTTTAAAACTCCGTAAACTTTTATATTTTCAATCTTGCACCAAAAGAAAGTATTTTTAAATGGACAATTGGACATAGAACAGTTGTCTATTTAAATTAGTTTTGTAAAAAAAACTTATTGTTCAACCAGAAAAGTTTTACAGGACCTAGTGCATAATTTTACCGGGAGTCTCCAATAGACCACGGGGCAGAGAGATTATTCGTCTGTTATTGATATTATTTAGGAGCAATTAGGTGATCAGCCTTCTGAGCGAACCCCAAAGACTTCTTATTTGTCAACGGGTAAGGCCTAAATTTTAATTTCGTTACGAGAAACGTTTTATTCAATATTTAAAAAAAAACAAGTGAAATCTACACAGTCATAACTTTCAATGTTAAAGGTATTCTCATTGCAAACAATAGAATCCATGTCACCAATAGGAATATCGGATCTGAAAGGAAAACGATTCGAAGTGTTGAAT